TCCCTTTCTTTTTTTGAGACAGGGTCTTGCTTTTTAACCCAGGCTGGAGTGCAGTGGTGTGGTCATAGTTCACTGCAGCCTTGAATTCCTGGGTTCAAGAGATCCTTCTGCCCTCCGCCTCCCAAGTAGCTGGAACTATAGGCATGTGCTACTATGCCTAGCTACTTTTTACGTTGTTTAAGAAACAGCGTTTTCCAGGCTGATCTTAAGCTCCTGGACTCAAGCGATCCTCCCATCTTGGCATTCCAAAGTGTTGGAATTACAGGAATCAGCCACTGTGCCCGGCCTGTTTCTTGATGAACACTTCACCACGAGGCTAGGGACTCTGCTAAGTAAATATGTACATTTCCTTCTAATCCACTGAAGATTAGAAGGGCATTATTCCTACAGGAGCCATTATTCCTACTTTTTCCGGAAGGAAACCAAAGCTATGAGAGTCAAGTAAATTGCCAAATGAACACAGTGAGATCCAGATCTGACTCCAAAGCCCATGCACTTAAACATGGTATCAGACCATGTCAACTTTGGAAATATTTGTAATGGAAGAATTATCCAACTTTGGAGCTAAGGCTGTCTTTTATTTCATTCTGACGTTTTGTGCAGTAGGTTGGCTGGGTCATAGAGTGTGCATGTTACCTGTGTTAGTGTGAGCTTCCCTCTACCATTGCAGTAGTTCTATTTTAAAGGGGTTAGGGTTATGCCCTGTGGCCACATGACAGGCAAAGGAGCTGCTTGGTTACTGACTTCCATGCAGTGGGATGCATTTGTTTGTAAGAGAGTGAACTCTGTTTACTCCAGCAAATCATTGACTACTTGAATTCCTGGCATTGCATTTCAGAGATAGGACACTAATTTGGCTGGCCTATGTATCATGTCCAAGAGCATGTTATAAATGCTCACATTTAGAAGGGAATGTAAAGTGAGTTAAAGGTAATAATGCGAAGGTCACTGCTCACTGCGTTTATCACAGAATAGGCCATCCCTTGTATTTCCAATGATTGCCTTATCATGATAAAACGTGAAAAGCAAATGAGTGTATTGGATCTGAAATCTTCATTGAGGGCTGTAGAAAGGAGATCAAGGGTTCAAGAGAGCTGTGTTTCTCCTTTCTGCCTTGAGTGTGAGGCAGATCCAATGTGGGAGGATGATCAACCGAGTGCATTCTTTGTCTGGGTGTTGATGGTTCTTTTGTGCTTTGGCTAATTTAATGTTTGACATGAGTATGTTGGTCATTAGTCCAAAAAAGGGGCTATATATTTACAACTCTGCTATTTTTTGTTGTCATTTTCTAGTGACTTTCCCCGCTTACTACTTCCAAGTTAAAGTGCTGTGGATTTTTATAAGAGGATTTTCTTTTTATTCAAGAGATAAGCTATGGTTTGATAACTTGTGCTGTGGAATTTTTTCTACTTGTTTACTTTTTTGAGGGATAATATACAGAAAAGTATACATATTATGAATACTTTTTGGAAACTGAGTGCACTTAAGTAACCAGTTTCCAGATTGAAGCACAAATGATTGGCATCCTAGAGGCCCCCATCCTCTTCCAATCTCTTCTGTCATTCTCTTCCCACAAGGGTAACCACCATCCTGACTTCTAGTAGCATATTGTTGTTTTGCCTGTCTTTGCACTTTATATGAATGGAATGATACAACCTGTTCTCTTCTGCATTTGACTTCTTTTTCTTTTCCTTGTTTGAGAGATTGAACCTATGGTTGAATGTAGTTGAAGGTTGTTTATTTTTGTTGCCATGTAATAATTCGTTATGTGGATATGCCATAATTTATCTATAACAATGTTAAAGACATCTACACCGCTTCCAGTTTATATTGTGATGAATAGTGCTGTGATATACCTTCTCATATATAACATATATAAGCATTTATGTTGGGTGCATACCTAGGAATGGAATTATTAGGTCATAGAATATCATTGTATTTAGCTTGAATAGATATTACCAAGTGGCTTAAGAGTTGAAGTAGTTAAACCAATTTACATCTCCACCAGTAGTGTGAGAGTTGATGAATTTTATTGCTGAGATGTCTTTTGGGAGATGTGTGAGAGGTACATGCTATTCTTAGGTTCATTTCAGTACATTTGTTTTCTGGAAAGGAATGGTCATAGTTGCCTTGTTGATTCTTTGAAAGCTAAGTTAAAAATTTGTCTCTGTGTACTCACACTCTCCTTTTTCTTTGTCTTTGTATACATGAATATATATGTGTTTTATGTTGATGTCTTCTACATACATAGATGTGTGTATTTTATTTTACAAATATGCGACTGTGCTATTAGACTGGACAGGCCACTTAGAAGTTTTCTCACTTAGGCTCCTACAAGTCTCTGAATTCACACGGATCCTGCTTAAGTGTCTCTAATGAGGGGAAGTGCATTCTTTTAGGATGACCCCTCCCTTTGTTAAGTAGCATGTTGTTGCTTCTTCGACACTGTGGTGCTGTCTGCCTCTTTCTAACTTCTCCCATGAATATCATGCCCTTTCTTAGGTAAGCAAAAAACCCATGATTCACATAATATGGTGAAGATTCTTCAGGCAGAGGTTCATGGCTATTTTTTAAATGGCCACTTTTCAACATTTGCAGGGTCAAGGTCTCTGAGCAGTTTGCTCTGGGGAAGTTGGATGAAAAACCGTAAGGATGATGGGAAAAAAAAACCCTCAGTGCAAAGTCTCTTCTATTTTTCTTCCTATTTTTAAGGTTGTTGTTTCTTTTTCTCCCATTTCCCAGTTTTTCATTCATGAGCAAACTGATGCCCCCTCATTGGGTTTAAAAATTATTTAAGATGGAAATACAAAAAATGCATATTATGTATTTAAAAATTAGACTAAAATGAATAAAATGAAAAATTAGCACTGCTTTTTATAGAACACTGAAAATTGCGTTAATGAATGTCAATGAATATAGAAAATCAATGCATTACACTTTTGTCAAATCAATGAATATGGAAGAATTCTTCTGATGGAGATCATATGAGTGCTAAGAGAGTTGAACTTCCAGGTGATATTAATATTCATAGAACTTTAGAATAAAAATGAGTTTTTAATTATTTAAGGTTCACAGATATTACCTAATAGATATTTTCTTTCTTTACAGGCAAGAAGAGACTGATAGGAGAGTAAAAAATGTAAGATACATTTACCTTAATGGAGCATTATAAGTGGCTTTCACTTCCATGTTCTATAAGAAGGCAGTGAATCTGAAAGTATACTCTATATACCTTTTCCAATTAAATTTTTACTACAAACCAGTCAGTTACAAACAGTAAATATCTTTAAATGTATGCCTTACAACAAATGGTTAGATTGTTCCGCTCCCACTGATAAGGGAGAACATGTGGTATTTGGTTTTCTGTTCCTGC